TAATATTACTATAATCACAAATATGGCACTTCCCTGAGTTTTGTGAGTTATTCTAGAGAATTATTGAACCTGAGGGAGTAGAGGGAACCTTGGAACTTGTAGCCACCTGGTCAGAAATGAGAGTAGACTAAGAATCTCACACTTGAAGCTTTTGGTGTTAAGTAATGGCAGTCTTGTAGAAGACTGTGAACTGAACCTTCAAATTTGGCCTAGTTGGTATAAGAAGTGATTGCAATAAGGAATAAATGAATAAACATATATAAAGGCCTTATAACAGGTCTATTAAATGGTTAGTACTGCTGCTGCATTGTTCATTTCCCCTCCAGATCCACTGTACCCTTGACTGTCCTGCTATGTGTCCTGGAAGGCTGACCCCTATGGGCTTATCACTTGGGCTACTTTGCTTCCTGGTTGGGTTTGACAATTGAAGGGGATGGAAAGACAAGAGCAAAGATATTGTTGTATTCATCCCTTCCCATTTCATTGCTCACTGATTGTGGTTTTGGAAGTGATTCTCTTTCTCCATTTTCTTTCTCTACCAAGGTTAACTCTGGTAGCATAGTGCCTAAGGCACTTGACTGCTAACCAGGAGGCTGGCGGTTCAAACCCACCAGCCACTCCTCGGAAGGAAGGTTGAGCAATCCTACTTCTGTACTGATACTGCCTCGGAAACCCAAGGAGGGGTCGCTATGAGTCGGGGCCAACTCGATGGCAAATAACAACAACAACAACACCACCAAGGTTAACAGCTGTGACTGAGTGGTTTCTCTCCAAGGCCTCTAGCTATTGCCAAATCAGTAATACTACTCCCTCCCTATGCCTCATCAATCATCATGGTACTCAAGAGTTCATATGTATATAGGTCCTAAGTGCTACAATGTACCTTGTTGATTCCTTTAACCTTACTTACATCATTGTTAATAACTATCTTTAATTAACCATTTGAATGTGTTATCTATCACAGAAAATATAGTGATAAATTATTTAGTTTAAGAGAAATATGTGCAGAGTAGAACTGCACTCCATAGGGTTTTCAGAGTTATGACCTTCAGGAAGGAGATCACCAGGCCTTTCTTCTGAGGCACTTTTAAGTGGTTTCAAGCAACCAACCTTTCAGTCGCAATTGACACCTTAACCAATTTGCTTCTCACTGCTGTCAAGCCCATTTGACTCGTAGCGACCCCTCCTTGAGTTTCCCAGGAAGTATCTCTACAGAAGTAGATTGCCCAATCTTCCTTCTAAGGAGTGGCTGGTAGGTTTGAACCACCAGCCTTCTGGTTAGCAGTCAAGTGCCTTAGGCCCTATGCCACCAAAGCTCCCAGTTGTGCTACCTAGAGACTCCTAAATATTAGGTTAGTTCCTTTAAATCAATGGAATATCATTAACAGTGATAGGAATGGGAGTTTCAAATAGATAAATAAATTTTATTAACCTGTGTGTAACTGATAGCATATATTTCCTAAGAAGTGAAGAGGGTATGTATGGAACTGCAACTTGATTGCTGTTAGGCTTTACATTATGTCCCCTCCTCTTTATTCCTTCTAGGAAGTATTGGAGGTAAATACTTGGTGTACAGGGAATTGGTGTTTAAGTCTACCATATGCCAAATCATGACCAATACAGGCCAAATTCTACTGCAGGGGTCAAATGGGGTAAAGCATCAAGATTCTGGTGTTGCTGAGTATGTTGGGGAGATGTGATTCTCTATTTTATGTAGACAAAGCTCACAAAGTCACACAATGAGAACTAGATTTGGAAAGATGCTTGCAGAAAATACATAATAAGGTCATTACTTTTTCTACTCCCATAGGAGTCATAGGAACAACCAGGAAGCATGTGAAATTATTAAGTACACTGGCTGTATTTTGCAGAAGTGTAGTAAGTGAAACAACCTTTTACTCAACTGGGCATCCAAGTTGATAAATTCATATCACATCACAGAAACATGGGGAAACTGATACTTTCTTATCTCTACTCACTAACTATATTCAGGATCTTTGCCTGGCTGAGCTTGCAGAAAACAGAGATCATTATGAGTCATGAAGGTGAGCCTGGGCATGCAGAAATTAAACTGTGTGAAGCAATACCACTTCATGCACAAAATAGCAATCACTTTGCTTGTTCTGGAAACGAGTTACAAATTATTGGCCCCTTGAAACTATTCCAATAAAACTCACCTTCATTTTATTCACAGTTAAACATTTAAAACTCTTAATTCACATAAAATCCTTTAGATCACAGTAGGTGTAGAGAGTATAATGTATTGTTAAGAGTGTGGAGATTGAGAGAATTGGACTCAGATTTCTTGGACTGGAATCCCAACTTTACTGCTTACTATCTATTCAAATGTCCACATTTGTTTTCAATCTCTGAAAGCCTTAATTTTACCATATATATACTTGGAATCATAATACTACTTATTTCTAGGGAATACTGTGAAGACTGAATCAGATAATGCATGCAAAGAGCTTAGGAAGATAGTTGGCACATAGTAAGCACTTAGGAAATTTTAGCTGTTTTTATCTCCCCAATAAGTCACTAGAAATACTTTCATGATATGTTCTATATTATTCATTTTGTATCTTTGACCAAGTCTACCATATAACACCAAATAAATATTTGCTTAACAAATGAATAGTTTGCCTTAGAAATGCGAATCTCAAAAAACAAAATAAAAAAGCATATATATTGCATTTTTTTCATCCTAATTACCAGAGAAGAGAATATTAATAGTGTATAGCACTTTCAACATCTGTCTTTTTTAATATTAGCACATCAGCGCAAATGCATATCCACCCTCTTAAACACATATGGAAGAAGCACATTGTCTCTTATAAAGTATTCACAATATAATTATTTACCAAAAAATAAAAACCCGATGAAAACAATAACTAAAAATTAAATTATAAGAATGAAAAAGGGGAAACAGGCTACAAATTTGTGTGTCATTTTATAGAAAATGATCATACATCCTTTATTTGACAGAGGAATTATGTTGAATCTATTTACTTTGCATGAGCCAATACAGAAAATGTAGGCATAGCTCTTATAAAATTTGGTGAACATCTAATTAGCAGGAACATATTTAAAAAATGTTTACCACACCCATTTACTAATTTGACAATTTATTTATCCTACAGGGAAGGCTTTTTCAAATTTGAAAATAAGTAGGCTATTCTGAAGTACAATAAAATTAATAGCTATGTGCAATTAGAACCAGGAGCTCTGGTAGCATAGTGCCTAAGGCACTTGACTGTTTGGTGCACCAAACACTCCTTGGAAGGAAGATTGGGCAATCTACTTCCATAGTGATACTGCCTTGGAAACCCAAGGAGGGGTCGCTATGAGTTGGGTCCAACTCAAGGACACATAACAATAACAACAACTATTAGAACCTAGGAGCTCTGGTGGCATAGTGCCTAAGACCTTTGACTGCTAACCAGAAGGCTGGTGGTTCAAACCCACCTGCCACTCATTGGAAGAAAGATTAGGTAATCTACTTCTGTAGTGAAGCTACTTCAGAAACCCAAGGAGGGGTCGCTATGCATTGGGTACAACTCCATGGCAGTGAGTCTGGTTTTATTAGAACCAGTTGCATTGAAGCTGATTCCTACTCACAGTGAGCCCCTGTATGTCAGAGTAGAACTGTGCTCCATAGGGTTTTCAATGGCTGGTATTTTGGAAGTAGATCACCAAGTCTTTCTTTTGAGGTCCCTTGGGATGGACTCAAACCTCCAATTTTTCAGTTAGCAACCAATCGCTTGAACTGTTTCTACCAAACAGGTACTCCTATGGGCTACTAAGTTTTGAAATTTTCTATAAAGTGGCACAAAGTTAAACACATTGAAATAGAAAGCGGGAGTATATCTCTTATGTTTTATGGTTATTTAAATAGTGTTGTTGTTGTTATTTGCCATTGAGCCGGCCCCGACTCATAGTGACCCCTCCTTGGGTTTCCAAGGCAGTATCACTACGGAAGTAGGATTGCCCAACCTTTCTTCCGAGGAGTGGCTGGTGGGTTTGAACTGTCAGACTTCTGGTTAGCAGTCAAGTGTCTTAGGCACTATGCTACCAGAGCTCCTATTTAAATAGTACTCGCTTGAATATTTTAATGTTCAAGAATATTTCTATTAACATCTTTTTATACTTATTTGTTGTTGTTGTTATGTGCCGTCGAGTCGGCCCCGACTCATAGCGACCCCTCCTTGGGTTTCCAAGGCAGTATCACTACGGAAGTAGGATTGCCCAACCTTCCTTCCAAGGAGTGGCTGTTTTATACTTACTAGGAGGGAAAATAATAATGTATAAAATAATAGGAATAGTTGTCACTTATGGATTTCCCTAATAAGTAAATGGAATTGTAATAAGTATTTCTCATGTAGAATTCTATTTAACATTCAAGGAAAGAATCACTAGATGACAAGCTTCACAAAGACAGAATCATGGCTATTTTATTCATTCATCTTCCCAGTATTCAGCACTGAGCTTGGCATGCAGCTGACACACAGTTAATATTTATTAAATAATTGTATGATTTTTCTTCCAAAATAGATCTTTATTAAAAAATGATTGTCTTAGTCTTCTAATATTTCACTATTACTAAATACATTCCATTTTATCAAATCTTTCCTAGTTTTATATGGTTATTTTCATTTATACATAGTATAGAATTTCAGAGAGAGAATGGGTCACATATACCTTTAATTTTATCATGTGTAGGAAACTGTAGAATAATAGAAATTGAATCTAAAGTCTCTAGAAAATCTTATTTAGCAAAGCACTGTAACTTAAAGAAAACCATTCAAAAATCTGATATTAATCCTCATAATTGTAATTGAAGGCTGGATAATATGAGCAGCAAAGAAAAAAAAAAGCTTAAAATTATAGTTAGAGCTTATAAAAAGCTCTTTAAAGATTATGGTATCAGTAATGAAACATAAATAAATGAAGGACAAAGTAATCTCTAGACACCAAAAGCACACGGGTCACATCAGACTCACCAGAACGGTCACGACACGTAGAACCACTCCACGCATGTTATTCTCCAGTTTCTTGTCAGTCAGTGACCCATTCAGCCCTGTGACAGGATTCCAGCATCCAAGCTGAAAGATAAGATAGTTTTGGTCAGATTTTGGCTTGAAGAACTGTCATATCACCTACATATAGCTCTTTCAGAGGACTTGTGGTGTCTCTTTGAATAATTAGTCTAAAAAGGGTCTTGCTCAGATTTTCTTTTTTAATAGCAAATGAAATAATAACAAATGCCATTTCCTGCTTTTAAATATCATCACATGGCATATGACAGTACCCAACCTGCTTTAGGAGGCTCACTGAAGACATTTGACTTAATGAGGAGTTATAAATGCACCAACAACTCAGTCTCACTAATGCACTAATTAGAAAAATAATAGCTCATATAATTCTAGCATAATGTCTGTTCTAATATATTCATTACTCTACAAGTTAGATTTTCTTACAGTTTCAATTGTTTTAATTAGATCTTACACTGCTTTTATTGTGAGAAAAAAGCTGCAAAATTCTTAATGTGGTTACAAGGATTATTGCTTTTATTTAAGGAAAAGATCATATATTTGGCTTTGTTGTTTTTAAAGTATTCACAGTACACAAAACAATATAATTTGCCTATTTTGTCAGTGCCGTCAGTTTTATTAGAATGTTTTGCAATAGCCTTTTTCCTTAAAGTCTTGCAATGATTCACTTCTTTTTATGCCCCAAAATACTGGTGTGGTTTTACATGCCCATGTAGTCCATACCTCTTGTAATATCTAAATTGGTGAGCTACCAATTTTAAGTTAATGCCTATATATCTCAGTGAAATAAAAATGAATGACTCTCAGTTCAGATGTAAGAAGAAAAGAAAGAGATGATATGAGTTGAATTAGCTGATAACTGCTCAAGGAGCAAAGCTGCAAAGAGAATGTTGTAATGCATATCATGGGAAGAAATGTTATGCTATTAATCTAGATACCAGCTCCATGAGCCTTCACATTTGAAAACCTACTCTATATTCACATATTCTAAAAACGTGACAGACATTTTGTCATACTTAGAGACTGTTTTGATTAACTAAATGGTTATAAGAGAACTAGATATTTGTGCAGTTTTCCCTCTGATGTCTGTGATTTGTTTCCTGGTGTTGCATTTTGTTTGTAGCTTCCAAAGTCATCAACATACTTGCAAGCCTCCTGCACAAATAAACAATTTAGGTGCTTTCTATTAAAACTCAAGTTTCTCTTTGAGCTCTCTAAAAAGTGTTTAATGAAGAAAACTAACGTGTATGTAATATATCATAAGAGAAGGATATGTCACAATATAAACAACAGAACTAGCTTTCTTCCTTACTAGAATAATTTGGAACATGCTGATAGCTGTTAGTTTCAACTGTAAAAGCACATTAAATTCATACAATGATGTGTCATTCTTAGTTACATAAAAGTCTAATTAGAACTTAGATCCAATTAGGAAATCCAAATGTGTTGAAAGTCTAATTATTAGAGATATTGTTGTAGTCCTCTTGCCAAATTCAAAACCTTGTGAAATTTCTTTTGAGTTTTGTTCTCTCTTGAAGTCCACCACAGTCTGCTCTAAATTACATTCCTTTATGTGTGCTTTTTCTAATTACTTCTTCAAGAGTATTTTATTTGCCAAGACCAAATATTGGTGGAGAAAAAGGTGATCTATAATGTTAAGTGAAGAGCTAAATTTCCAATGCATCTCTACATCTTACAATTACATTACTTAATTCTAAGCTTAATGAATAACATTTACAATATTCATGATAAATATTTCTTTTTATCTCTCTTGGAGCTGTTTTATAAGTTCAGTGAACTTTCTCACAAATTTCTCTAAATAAATGACGTCTTTAGTACCAATTTGAAGGTCTTGAGTAATAAAAATATATACTACTGAATTAGTAATAATGCTTGCTGAGTACTTTGTTTCAACAATGCTCTGGACAAGCATTTGAATGTATATAACTACCAACTTGTTTTTAGTTATGTCCTCATTTAAATTTAATTAAAGGTAGTGTTATGGATTGAATTTTGTCTGTGAAAATGTATGTTGCAATCCTAATCTCTGTACCTATATATACGACATTGTTTGGAAATCGTGTTTTGCTATGTTAATGAGTCCATTCTGGAATAGGGTAGATCCCAAAGGTAATAATTTTTGAGTGCATCTTACTGAAAGAGCAGAATAGACACAGACACATACATGGGGGAAGAGAACATGCGAGAACTCATCTACAAGCCAAGGAAGCCAAGGATTGTCTGGAGAAAACTTGTCCCATGGTCATTACCCTGATTTAGAGTTTAGCTTTCACAGCTGTAGACAATACATTTCTTTTCTTTAAAGTTATCCATTTATGGAATTCTTGTTATCACAGCACTACATAACTAAGACATATTTTCAATGTTTTAAATACCTCTAAAGCATTCTGAAGGAGGTCTGGTGGCATAGTGTCTAGGCGTTTGACTGCAAACCAGAAGGCTGGAGGTTCAAATCTACCAGCCACTCCTCAGAAGGAAGATTGGGCAATCTACTTCCATAGAGATACTGTCTTGGAAATCATAGGAGGGGTCACTATGAGTCGGAATTGACTTGACAGCAGTGAGTTTTTTTTTTTTTTTTTTTTAAAGCATCCTGATATTTGAATAAAAATAACAGAAAGCAATTGGAATAGGAAAACATAGCTTGTCTTTAGACCTAGGTATTCTCATATATATCATAAATGATGCAACTTCTTCTCAATACCAGAACTTTATTTTTCTCTGGACAGGTTCTCACATATATCACAAGATGATATTTCTCACCTTTGCTTGATAAAGGGCTTTCGTATTTTTATATTCTACATCCTTTTTTTTTTCTACCTGATTCACACATTTTTTGATCATAGCACTTGCAATGTTGTTCAGTATAAATTTCTATTCTTTACAGCATTGGTGTGACCTTTATGATCAATAAACTCCTTTACTCAGTTTCTCCTTCACATGCACTATCTGCAACGTTTCTTAAGTGAAAGCTGTAGAAACCAAGAACTAGGATATTCAGAAACTGAATTTTATTATAAAGAAAATTTAAGACAGATTACCTGGAAAGCTAGAAATAAGACATATGCATTCATCCCACATTAAATGGTTGAAACAAAGAAATTATTAAGAAATTAAAATACTATTTATTTCCAATATTGAATAGAACTATTAAATAATCTGTTTTTCTACATGTCAGCCATAGTACTGAGTTCTTCATCCATAATCTCATTTAATTTTCACAATAATTTTATAAGAATTTGCTATTACCATTATTATTTTATGAATAACTTAACTAAGGACTTAACTAAATTCCCATATTAACTAAGAGATGAATGTAGGTGAATTAGATGAAATTTAAGGCCAATCTTCCTTGTCTAGATTCAGTGTTTTTAATTGTACTTCTGCTTTATAGCTTATGATTTCTTTAATTATTTCATAAAAATGATATATTTCAGGTAGGTGGAGAAGATATTATTCCTATTTTATAGTCAAGGCAGATGAAGCTCAGAGTAGTTAAGTGACTTGCTCAAAATAATTGCTAATGAAATAACATCCTGGCAGTAAAACTTAATATGCAGAATCATCATCACCACCATCATCTTAAATTTTTTAACAACTATTACAACATTCACATTGTGCTAACCATGTGCCAATCATCTCAGAAGTTTACTAATTTATTTCTCAAAACAACTTTATGAGGAAAGTGTTATTATTATCTAAATTTTATGGAAGAAGAAACTGATGACCAAGGGGGTCTGCTTCTTCGATTGTATTATCTTTTATCCACTGGACCATCAGGAAGGCATTGGGGAAATAAAGAAAGAACTAGAAAAATGAAGTGAGAAAGAGATGTTCATAAAATATTCCTGGTACATTCTCCTTTCTCTGACCAACTTACTAAAAAGTAAGTGGGAGAACATGTTTCATTTCTCCTAAGACCTGATAATGTTTCTCAAAATGTATAGAAAGATGAATGAGGAAATAAGCAACAGCAACACCAGAGGAACTGTTGATTATCTACAATTTTTTAAAGGATTTCTCAAGTTTAAAGATTCCTTAATTTCTTTTCATACACACCCCTCTCCCTGAGGCTCACTTCAAGTTATTCTGTTTGATTGTAATATTCTTTCCAATATGAAGCAAAAAAAACAAGTTAGGTTCACAGAGATCCAAATCGAATTTGTATCTACAATGAGTACTATTCCTTGCAGCATAGAAAGATTGACCGTCATAATGTTTGATAAAAACTAGAAAAATTTCACTTAAGTTCAAGTGTGAGGCTTATTCAACAACTTCTCAGGTTTCATTGTTTGATACCTTGTTAACTTGACTTCTCTGGCTATGTGGAGAAGGTTGTATTTGTCTGGCTGTGTTTTTGCTTTTTGGTTCTTTTTTTTTTTTTCTTTAAATGCAGTCAGAGCCTAATAAAGATAATGCACACAAAATCTCATAACATGATCTATTTAGCTCTGAGCACTTTCTAACTAAAAAAATGATAACAATGGCTTCGGCAGCACATGAGATTTACAGAAAGTCATACTGCTGATGGCAAAATAAGATTCACTATCGTACAGAGTCTGGCAGTCCTGAGATAATTTAGAAGGGATAAAAAGAAATAAAAACCAACTCAATTTCCTTTCAATTACAGTATATCGATTTCTTATAGTATTTTCTGGTTGTTGCCTAAAGTCATTTAAAAACTTTAAAAATGTTTAATGCTTTAATTATTTCCTTCAGTGGTGCTTCAGCAATAATAATCTTGTAGCCTTCTGTTAAAATCAATGTAATATCATAAGTTCAACACACTGGTTGATGTATTTACATGAGAATCATAGCATGCTGCTACCATTATATTTACTAATAGCCAGATTTTATATATTTATTATTTTTCCTCCAATATTTTCACTTTTCATTTGTCCAAGGGTTGCAAGGGATAACTTTTGACTCTTGGGTTTTACGTCACTGTTTTTCAGACAGTGTTATATGTCAAAAAGGGCTGAACTGTCCAACTTAATTTTATCTCAATAATTTATAGGCTTTAATAACAG